AGTACGGGGGCAACACTGAGGGTTGCGATCCGTTGCCGGACACGGAAAAAGACAAAAAGGAAAAAAAAAAAAATCAGTAGATTTAACATATGCCCTGGGCATTATGACATATTCATACTTGAATCTTTAATATCTAGCAAATGCCCAACATACACAGTTTGCCTTAAAAAAATATTTGTTGAATTGAATTACGTTGGAAAAGTAATTTAGAGAGCAAAGCTCCTTAATCTATTTTCCGAAAGCTCATTTACAAAAATTATTAGAATAAGAACTCAAATCTAGAGATATAACCTGCCCGAGTGCTCAGAAATACTTATTAAATAAGTGAGTGGATGAATTAGTGAATGAATGAAAACTTGGTGCTCAAGTTCTGGTACAGATTGGGTGTATCTGCCCTTTACAGTTACAACCTCACTTAGCACATAGATATTATTACCTAATAACCTGAAAAAAATCTGACAGGTCACATTTATTTTCCTTCCACACAGTTGAACTCCTAAAGAAACAGATCACACTTCAGAATGGAAAGGTCCCACATACTACTGGTATGTCCATGTGTAAGTGCTAAGGACGGGAACCCACAGAACTTCCTGGATCCAAAGCCACTTGCAAGAAACTAAGTAGTCAGGCTTTAACAAAATTTGAAAGCTTGTAAATCATCTCTTGTAAATGAGAAATGGAAGGTTTTTATTTTTGTTTTATCTTTTTTTATGAAGCTTAAATTTTTCTAGAATTAGCAAAAAAATAAAACAAACAAAAAAAACCCTTTAATGGTTCACCTTTTCTTAAAGAAAAGGAAAAGAAAATTAAAGCAATCCAACAAAACAAACAAACAAACAAAAACCCTTTAATGGTTCACCTTTTCTTAAAGAAAAGGAAAAGAAAATTAAAGCAATCCAAAGAATCAGCTAGAAATTTCTATTTATTTCTTTTAGATTTTGCAGAAAAAAAGATCCTAACCCAACTCCAGTTTTTAATTCTATTAAACATACACAGAAATTCGATGATATCTGTTCTCTATTATATACATATAAATGTTTAACTTATATTAAGTCTCAAAACAGACAACTTGGGAAAGTTGATAGGAAATAATCAGGGACTGCAGTTGCCTGCTGGACATTATATCATATGTAGCTCATTATAAAGAAAGACCATAAAACATCAAAATGTATCTGGGTTCAAAAGGGGGACACATTGAAGCTTCTAATTGCCAAAGTCCTCCAAACTTCAGCACAGGAGATACATTTTGAAGCATCACAGCCGTTGACATGGCACAGTTCTGTACTAATTTTGTGTTTTCTACAATATCGCTGTACACTTTCTCTAGACACACAATAAACAAAATTAGTATAAATGTAATACCATGTTAACTGCTGTTAAAATCCCATGGAAAATGTTTTGTTTTTGTTTTATTTTTTCGCTGCTTAGGCTCAGAACAGTTCTTGAGATTTAAGTGATATTTACCAATCTATGTGGCTCTACTTTGGGTTCATGCTTTTTAAATATCTTTCCAACATAAACTTCTTCATGATCCCACCCCTTGTCAATTTCATTGCTGTCACTGGCTGCTACACATTTGCTGTTTCAGTGGTTAATCTGGGCATCTGATTGCTTAAAATTGGGTCATATGCCATGAATTTTTCTTTAGCTCTCAAGGAACTGACTTTAAATTTCTCTGGGATCATATCTCTCCTCCCATGGGATTTGATGCTTTTGTTTATATATTAATATTTATATATGTATGCTTGTACATATATAGATATAGGAAACACACACACATTAACACACTATAATATATATATATATAACACATGTATAATCACATATATGTATGTATTGTTTTTTGCAAATGAAAAAAGAAAGCAAGCAAAACAAGACTGACCTGACCTACCTGTACTCGGCTCACATTCGATGAAGTCTTCATCATCACTTGAACATTCAGCAGATGAAACAAGGTCATCTGATGTTGGCTGTTGATGTCAAGGGAAAAATAATGGGGAGGGAGGGAAGAGAGACAAAAGAGAGAGCGAGAGATAAGGAAACAAATGGACAAAGACATCAAAAACTTATCACTGTGTCCCACCTCCCATCATTGTTACTGTTTCTTTTCTCTGCAGAGGGCATGCTGTAGGATGGAAAATTTTTAACTCCTGTGTAGCTCTGAATGGCTCTGGGTCCAGACAATCTGTGTGGCTTGTCTGTGAAGCCAAGTGACCCACAATAGTTCCAGGAGGTTCAAGCCTATCCCATCCTGTAAATCTGCTGTACAATACTGCCTAATAGCCCCAACACAGGTAAGGCTGTTTCTGAAGAGAGCAGAAAAAATTTTGATTGCAACAATAGTCGTTCAGCTTGAGACTTTTTTTATTCTGAGTCCTGTGAAAACTTCTTAGTGCCAGGAATCTATTGGAAGAAATATAGGGGACTGCGGGTCTTGGATGTGAAAAGGGTCCTTACCACACAGTAAGTAAGACTGCTTTCTGTACCTCGTATATATTGCATACATGAGGAATACCATTGAATGAAAAGATGAATGAACAAATGAATGAATCTACAGATACTATGCAAAAGTCAACTTTTGGCTTACTATGTGCATAAGAGTATTAAATACATTGTAGCTGTTTAATAATTGCTCATTTCTTTTCTCTTCTTGGTGTTAATCATATCAATTGACTTGCTGATTTTATTATTCCCAGTGCACTGAAGTCTGGATCTATATTCAAGAGGAAAAGATAATAAAGAAACTGCCTCCCTGTCCACTAAGCAATTACTACATGGCAGATGCTGTGCTAGACATGTATATATATACTTACTAGTAATAGTTATTATTAATCTTATTAGTAATAGTTATCATAATTAATTAGACACAGTTCTTACAACTATCCTCTGGGACAAGAATGACATTATATGTTTAAAGAGATAACAGAGAGATTAAGTGAGTTGCTGAAGGACATAGAGCTAGTACATAGGGGGATGTAAAGATACATCTTAGTCAAAGTCTGTGTTTGTGGCCCACAAATAGGCTTTTTTATACCTCATCTTATATAATATCATGGGTTGAATTGTGTTCCCCCACCCCCAAATTTATATGTTAAAGTTTTAACCCCCAGTACCTCACAATGTGACAATATTTGGAGATAGGAATTTAAAGAGGTAATTAAATTAAAATGAACTCATTAGCATGGATCCAAATACAACATGACTATTTTCCCCGTAGAAAGAGGAGATTAGGACACAAATATCCTCTGTGGGAGGGCCACGTGAAGACACAGGGAGAAGGTCATCTATAGGCCGAGGCAACAAGCCTTGGAAGAAACCAACCCTGTCCTTGATTTGGACTTCTGGCCTCCAGAACTGCGAGGAAATAAATTCCCGTTGAAGCCAGCCAGCCTGTGGTACTTTGTTATGGCAGCCCTAATAAATGAATACACATGACAACCAAGCCATATGCTTAGTATTTCCAGAAAACATCCTTTTTTTAAATAGACATGCTAGACATAGGACTATCGGACTCAGCAAAGAATGGTAGAAAAACCATGTTAGATTATTAATTTCACTTAATTGACAGGGGCAGGGGAGGTGTCCCAAATAACATTATCGATCTTTATTCTATATTTGACAAGGAATTACTTCAAACCCCACTTCTCTTTAAAGTTAGAAGAAAAAAAAATTCAAACATACTTTTTTCTTTTAGGTGGATGCTACTAAATTGCATGTTTCAGCTCCAGCAACTGAAGCTGGGCACCACTTTTCACATTAGAGAAGTGGGAGTATAGTTCCTTGGTGTTTCCTACCGTAATGGGACCTTATATAGGTCCATTTCCTGTTCCTTAGGGAAAGGAGGAGGTAGGGGAATAAATGTTACCTGTACAAATAAAGAAGGCAATTGTAGGAGGCAAACACTGTTTTGGAAAGACCACACTCTTCATTAGATAGCTCTAAAGAACCTATTCTCTATGGGGAGAGTATTTCCCCCAACACAGCAAAAATTGGTTTGAGCTAGGGGAGAATCTTAGATATGACAGTGGTTTATGGCCCTCCAAAAGGACACAATTTCATAAGCAAATATACAGTATATCTTCATGGAGAAGGGCAATTAGGAGAAAAAGCCCCAAATATATAGAATATGTTTGTGGGAGAAGGACAATTAGGAGAAAAAAAAAGCCTGAAAAACTTTTTAGGGGGGTGATAATGAAAAAGAGGTTATGAATACACTTCTAAACTATATTCAGGGCTTGCCAGTTAGCTCAGTTGGTTAGAGCACAGCCTTATAACACCAAGGTCATGGGTTTGGATCCCTGTATTGGCCAGCTGCCCCAAAATTGGTGAAGGACCACAAAAAATGATTACATTGTGTAATGATAAATATAGTAATTTTTAAAAATATGCTTGATATGTTGAAATGCCTGATGTCTTCAATTGCAAAGGAGATTTACCTGCATCTGTTTTTGCCTGAGATTGTAGTATTTACTGAAAAAAGGCTTGCATTGAGTTTGGATTTATATTCTATATTTTAAAACTCATATAACCAACATGTCTATACGTATAATTGGGCTCAAATCCCCAAGACCCTTGTTTTACAAAAAATTCTGTCCTTTTATGAGTTTTCCATTTCTTCATTGAAAATCTAAAATGTATTCTATCACTGGCCCATTGAGAGAAAAAGAAAGAATTAATTCAAAGCAAAGCAGAGCAAGTATAAAAGCAAGACTAAAA